AAAATGAAGATCGCTGTTATTTCATATGTAAAATATTATCGTAAATTTCAATAATCGCCATTTCCAAGCCAACTAAACGACTTTTTTCGATCATACGACATATATTAAGTACTTATATAAAAGAAGTTTTGTTTTTGTTGTTTATTCTATGTTTAACACGAATACATTGTCTATACATAAACGTGGATTTTTCATTCAAAGATATTTTCGTCAGACGTATTATAGATAAGAATCGAATTCAAAAAGCACAAAATATCATGTCTAAGATACATTTATGGCATAAGAAAATATGAGCCAGTGAGTTTTAAACTAAAAGAAACTAATTGGCTTAATATGACCCAACGTCGAGAGTTGCATGCCTGTTATCTGTTTCATAATATAATTTTGACAAAGACTCCACCATATTTATATAAAAAAATAAAGTTTAGAGCAGATGTGCACACGCTTTATCTGCGATTTGCTGGTCTCGTTTCGCTTCCTGCTCACAAAATTGCCTCCTTTATGCGATCTTTCTCTTACAATGTATATAATCTATACAATAAAATTCCACCACATATTAAAGCATGTAATCCGTTGTGTTTCAAGTCAACATACAGAAGGCATCTCAACAGCGTCTGACCTGCAGAAAGAGGGAGTAAAAACTCTGAGAATAAAATGCTCATCCCAGACCTCATTATTTTGTCTACTATCATTTAATTTCTTTTATTGTATTTCCAGGTATATACTGTTTTCAATATAATTGTTGAATTTCTGTTAAACCTAAGAATTTCCACGTTTATTTATTAATGCATGTCAAGGATATTGTTATTATTATTATTTTTCTTTATTATGATTATTGTTAGGGTCTAAATGAAAAACAGTTCTACTGATTTTAGTCCTTTTGTAGGACATATTGCATAATAGTGACTATATTGTTGTAATTTTTTTATACCACAAATAAATGATATATTATTATTATTATATTACACATTTTAATACGGCAACACTGTTGCTTTCAGTTCCACACCGTCCTCGATATGCCTTCGCCGGCCGAATTAGAGAAAATAAAGTGTTTTATGTGTTGACTGCAGAACGATTGGTGTCTCCACCGTACAGCACTTGAGACGCAAGGGAAATCAAATCAGCCATGTCACGAATTTGCCCATTAGTTTGCGTATCTTCCCAATTCTTTCAATCAACGATAAAACTATGAAACAAAACAGTTATAGTCATTTTATTTAAGTTGGTAAAATAGATTATCAAAATGATTGCACGCATTTTATTGCACCCTATGTAAACGGTAAATTGAGCGTGCAAGCAAATTTCATGCCATTTTTAAGAATTGCATTGCTTCCAATTGCATCTAGCTTAAACACCGTTTGAGAAAATTATGGACAAGACATTGACGTCATCTACTTCTCAAATAGTAACTAATTGCGTAAAAAGTCTTCAACTTTTTTTGTTTAAAAAATTTAAAGTGATTGACGATTTAAAAGTTTTAATGAATATGCATGAATGGGAAAACTATGTATCTATAAGTTTTTATTTTCCATTTAAAAGTTTTCAGTTACATGTACCTAATAGGAACATACAGGGAAACGCTGTTAAATCTCTGGCGTTTTAATTATCGAAACCTTTCTAATTGTTTGAAGTTCTGGAGTATCTCGTCGTTCATTATTCTAATGAAATTCTGAATAGTTATGGCGCTGGTAAATGCGGAAATGCTTGAAATGCAATACGTGCTTTTGGTAAAGATGCACGGTATTGTTATGAATAAATATACTTGTTCGGGTGCTCAAATTGACAAATCAATTAACATAATTGTAAATCTATTCTAAAACCTCAAATTAACGATTATGATCTAATATACGACGTGCGAACGAATAAGTGCTAATGAGGATAATTGCTTTTTTTAAAAATAATGATATTTTTCGTATATTTTCTTTAAATTTGGTGTTTTCCTACCGAGTTTTGTTTTATAACATACCACTAGGGTTCAGAATTCCCGGTTCTTTTGAGGCATAAAAGAACCGGGACTCGAAATTGTTAATTCCCGGTTCTTTTGGTACTTCCGGGACTCGGTAATAATTAAAAACATTTTTTTTGTTACGTGCGAAAGACTTTTGATACTTTCTAGTGGTCGAAATCAAACTCTTCTAAATTTGTTAAAGTTATGCTGTCTCTTACTGTTCTTACTTCTGAAGTTATTTTGAAGTTTCTATAATGTTTATTAACAATTATTGAAGTTTAAATATGTTAGTTTATTATTTAGTATAATATTGCTGAATGTATTAGTTATATTTTTTTTGTGTTATGTTTTTATAGACATTTGCATCTTTAATTGAAAATGTTAAGTTTTTTTTTCTAGTTTAGTTAAGTTGGTTTCGAGGTTGGTTGATGTTGTTTGATGTAATTTTTAAGCTACCTATGTGTTTTCTTTTTCGCTTGTGTTCATTATTTGTGTTCATGTTTACTTTCTAATGACTTAATAATTTGATATTATTTTCATTTGAAACTCAATTTTTTATCGGTTTTACTTTTGAGAACAATCTCTTGCTTCCTAATTTACGAATTCAACAATCGTTGAACGAAAATATTTTAGTACAGTTCTGGAATCTCTAATTAATACTACCAATTAGATTTCAGATCTTTTTGGCCATCACAGAACTCGGTAACAATAATTGAGAAATTATTTTTTTACGTGAGAAAGTCCTTTGATATTTTCTAGCGGTCGAATTCAAACACTTCTAAATAAGTAATGATGCTATATCTTATTGTTCTTGCTTTTTTTCTCTTTTGAAGTTCCTATAATATTTATCATGTTATGTTTTAATAGACATTGGTCCTTGTGAACTGTCTTATCTTAGATGTAATGTTACCAGTTGATAATTTATTGCGAAAATTGTTTTAGCAAATAAACGTCATTTTGTTTTACATGGGATTTTCTGTAAATACAGAGGTGGATTGAGAATCCCGCGTTTATTTATTTTGTTTTCTAGTTAGGAACGTGAAAGTTGGCGCTAAAATATTTAATACCTTACGCATTCAAGTAAACATCGTAAGTTTATTTTTAGGAATACTGGAATTATATGGATTAGGATAATACATTTTCCCACAATTATTTTTTGACTAACTGTCATGGTTAAATGCGTTTTATTACTTCTAAATAAAGATATTGTGTTAATACAAATAAAAGTGGTTTTAAAATTAGAATGTAATGTAGTACAGTAGCAACATAGATAAAATAAATGTCAATAACGATAAATTAATATAGAATCTATTTAATAATATAAGTGAGCAGTACAAATCTTAGTACTGCTCACAAAGTAAAAGAGTATATGAGTATACTTAACACTTTTTCAACTGCCTTTAATTTCCCCTTTAAAGTAAAGTCTGTCTGTCTGCCCAACGAGCCAGAGAAGAATATCGTCTGATATCGACGCCATCCAAACAATGACAGAAAATACAATTAACCTGTGATATTTATTCTGTAAACTTTGCCTGTGTGTGCAGACAAACTTTATATAAATAAATTAACAATTTATTTTTCGACGAATTCCGGATTTTGTTCGGATTTCAGAGCTCATTTGTCCGGAATTTCCAAAAATTTATATGGAAACACTACATTTTTTGACCTTACAACATTTGACTCAGCCCTACATAAATTATAGTAGAAATGTATTAAACTATTAAACTAACAACGACTGAAATATATGACGAGTTATAACCAGGGTTGGGTAGGTCGAAAATTTTATATTTTCTACCGTATTTTCTACACGTAGAAAATTAATTTTCTACACCAACTAATTTTCTACATTTTTTACATGTCCAGACGTAGAAAATTAGTTTGGTATATTGAAAGCCTTTTTTGAGTTTATATTTATTTCAAATACTTCAATTACAACGATTAGTACAAGAAATAAACTAATAACGATATCTCTAATTGTTATTTATAATTTAATGGATAGTAGATAGTATTTAAAAAGCTTAACTATTAACTTCCATGTTATTTTAAATTGATATGTACAACGGGAGGATGCGTGACAGTGACTGTCGTATCATTATAATTCACAGGCATATCGTATTTTCTGTCATTTTCTTGATGTGGTCTGTCGAAATCTTCATTGATTTGTTACGACAAAGACCAAAAATGAACAGAAATTACAAAGAACAAAAATCTCATGAATCAAATGTGCACGATCCATGTGCAGCAAATGCAGATCCTATATTAGCATGAACTGTATTTTAAAAAGTTATGTACATTCAAGGTTTGCAGTTTTGTTGAAAATAATTTATGTTTATTACTTTAGCTTCACATTTCAGTTGTTTGTACTTTTAATAATACGGTAAAATCATAAAATATATGTGTTTTTAATTTCTATGGGTTTCTTAGCCAAGTTATATTTCTGTTGTCAAACATTCCTAAAAAATGCGTTTTACTTTATTTTTGTGTCCGTTCTTATTAATTTGTTGAAAATTAATGAAATTGTTTATTCACAAGTTTGAATATATTGTAAACAGTGTCAAAAATAACAAGCTTTTTATGAAATCTCTTCACCATGTATTTTTTACTGAAGCACGCCATAAGCGGTCCAGAAATTCATCACGCCAGTTAAGGGTTAAACACAAAAAAATATCGTCACGAAATAGAGATAGCGCGGGCCCACATATTATAGTTTTAACACTTATAGAATTTAAAGAAAATAGAACGGAAGAAACCTATAAAGTGAAAAAACGCCTTTAAATATACAAAATTACTTTTGTACCTGTTTTCAGATTTAATACATTTTCTACTTAATATTCCACATATTCTACATTTTTTACGCAGTTTTCTACATACACGTGGAAAATTAATTTTCTACGCGTCGTGACCCAACCCTGGTTATAACTCAAGAAAGGGGGACACAGTAGATCTATAAGACCGCGTTGATTAACTTTCCCCTCCCATACAATCTACATCTACATCATGGGGTTTTCTTCAGTACTCCATCAGTTATTTGATTATTTTCTTTCTTTTGCAGGTGGTACGTCTTTCGGCAAACACTTGGTGCACGACTTGGATTTGAAGCGACCCTGTACTTGTCCCCTCACGCGCAAAAGGTGCTACTGCTTCCGGCCGCATTCCAATCAAAGTTGGCTTTTTAGCCGATACACTACGGGGTGGAAGTGCGGCCTGCACGCCGACTGGACGGAATTGACGGGCTGCGTGGACGAAAAGTTAGACGAATTAGAAGACGTAGTGAAAAGAAGATATTTTTATATTACTTTGTTAAGGGAGCCGATATCGAGGTAAGAAGGAGATAGGTAGAACAATAAAATTTCGAATAACTGTCACTGGAGGTACTGCGACGATCTGGCGAATATATGGAAAAATGCAATAAACGTGTTATCATTTTATTTTGTCCCATTTTTAACGACTATAATGCCGGGTCCAGACCAAGCAGACAAAACAACGATAAGACAGAAACATTCATGTTTTACGACAAAATTGCGACAAATCCAATACATTTCTGCGAAATTTTTGTCTCATTTTGTTTTGTTTCAAAAATCGGAGACTTTTCAATGTCCCGTCTCGAGTCGGTAAAGATCAAAGTGTCTATGTTTTGTTCGTATATTTTACAAGTCGTCGGCGCAGTGTGGATGGCGTGTGCTGTCAACAGTAGAAGACCAGTGAAATCACACATGGTTAATAAAACTCATTCGCAACAACTAAACTTTTGACTTCGTTGTACTTTTGTCTTTCCGGTGTGGACAATTTGTCTCAAGTTTGTCTTGTCAAAATTCCCCATTTTTTGTCGCAAGTTTGTCTTGTTTTTGTCTCAAAATCGTGTTTACTTTTTGTCGCCTTAGTCTGGACCCGGCATAACTCGTATTTCTGGGGACTGGACATTTATTAGGACAGTTCTTTTGATGTTAGTCTATTTTCATTCCCGAGATCTATAATCGTTGTCAGCAGAAAATATGCTGTTTTATATCTTTTTTATGTGGATCAAGATAACTTTTGCCTTCTCTAATTTATCTTCTAGTTCTTTCCAAATTTCTACCGACATTTCGATCTGGGATTGGAGAGATGTGGTATATGTCAACCATATTTATGTCAACGAAGAAATGACAAAAAAAAATTTCATGAATCAAATGAATCGTGCACCATGTGCGGCAAATGCAGATCCTATATTAGCATGAACTGTATTTGAAAAAGTTATTTACATTCAAGGTTTGCAGTTTTGTTGAAAATAATTTATGTTTATTACTTTAGCTTCACATTTCAGTTGTTTGTACTTTTAATAATACGGTAAAATCATAAAATATATATGTTTTTATTTCTATGGGTTTCTTAGCCAAGTTATATTTCTGTTGTCAAAAAATCCTAAAAATTACGTTTAGCTTTATTTTTGTGTCCGTTCTTATTAATTTGTTGAAAATTAATGAAACTGTTTACAAGTTTGAATATATTGTATACAGTGTTAAAATAACAAGCTTTTTAAAAAGTCTCTTCATCATGTATTTTTAACTAAAAAAAAAAATTGGGGTCGGTCGGACCCCAGCACGCCATAAGCGGTAAAAGAATTCACCACGCCAGTTGAGGGTTAAAAAAAATAATTATTTTTGCCAACCCTTCAACCAGTTCACTGTAGACAAAACTGTGTTATAAAACCGCCTCAGGCCTCGGTCTCGGTCCGCCCGTGTCTACGATCGGCAGTAGTACAGGTTAAACTGCGCAAACTGGCCTGTACAGTTAGCCTGTGCTAAAGAACTGAGCGTCTATGGGGCTCTTACGTTGCATTACTTGGCTAATAGGGCTGGCTTCACTATATCAAAACAACTTTTATTGCTAGATGAAAAATCCATACAATAACTAATTTGAATTAAAATGCAATTTTTGCATATATGTATATATTATTTTGTAATAGCAAAAAAACGGTTACATACTTAGAATCGCATGAGTATATTGTAATTCTTAAATTTTTTATTGTAATCGCATATTGTAATTATGTATTGTCACGAAATATTGCACTAAAACGCCTTTTTTTAATTATTAAAATATAGAGGCATATGGTTAAAAATAAAAGTTGGCATGACGCATTGTATTTGAGTATTACTTTACGCTATTCTTCCAATTAATAAAAAAATAAGATATAACATTTTACTGGCTTATTAGTCTAATTACTTATACAAGACTTGACTTGCAGTTTATATACTAAAAAATAATCAATGGTACTTTGAATGTGGTAGACAATGATTCAGTATTAAAACTAAAAGAGTTTTGGGCTTTCATCGTCCTTATTTATTTTTGCTTACACAACGTTTCGGTCAGAAGTATCACTAACCGTTATCAAGTGTGAACTAAACTAAATCCTAAAACTACTGAGTTTATACCGGGTGCATCTGTAAAGTGGCTCACCCATATAACTTTTTTATTTTTTAGATAAGAAACGAAATTTGATATGTTAGTATATGTCATAAATTAGGATTGATTGACGTATCCAATTGTTTAGGTCACTTTCGGTTTTACCGGAAATTACTTAACTTTTGGTTTTTAAATGACACCCTCGGTATTTTTCTACTTTATTCCATAGAAAATGACACTCTGAATCGAATGACATATCATATTATGTCAACTTTTGACATATTCGCTCAAAAACAAATTATATTTTAAATTTCAATCTAGAGTGCCATGGCTGTATTAAAAACACTAATTAATTCTTAATCAAGGAGCCTTGAAAAAATAAATTTGATCGCCTAATGTTTTTAGTGTCTTGTTCTGCCGGGTAAAAGATGCCCAAGTCGTAATTTTAACTATATCTCAATTTTTTCAAATGGAACGAGGGTGGCTCATTCGCATATTTGGAAAAAAGATTTTTTTAAGAATAATTTGATACCACACACTTGGTATTTCGAGTCAGATTGTCGTTATGAATCGCATGTTACAATTTCAAATAAACCATATGCGAAAATGTCAAAAGTTGACATATTATATGCCATTCTATTCAGAGTGTCATTTTCTATCGAATAAAGTAAAAAAATACCGAGGGTGCCATTTAAAAATCAAAAGTTGTAGTAATTTCCGGTGAAACCGGAAGTGACCGAAAACAATTGAATATGTCAATCAGTCCTAATGTCATATACATATGACATTAGGATTGTCATATACTAACATACCATGTCATATATAACATCATATGTCATATATTAACATATCAAATCTCGTTGTTTTATCTGAAAAAATAAAATAGTTATAGGGGTGAGCCACTTTTGAGACGCACAAGCATGAGGTTTTCCACTGAGAACACCTGCATTGGAGCGTTTTATGAGTGGTTGTCATATTGTTGAAATTTCCATACTTGGATTACTAAAGATTTTATTATTGTTAGAAATGAATACGGCCTGTTTAAATTTGCGCTTTTCCAATGGGGTTCTTTGTGGACAATCCGGGCTTTCCGACCATTTTATGTTGTGGTTTGTGGTGCTTAGACCACACATGATCTGCAATGCCCGACTTCATTGTTTTACCTCTTTGCGTGTGTTTTTTTATGTTCGTCAAGTCGTACATGTAGAGGACGTTTTGTTTCTCCAATATACGACTCACCGAAAGAGTGCATCTGCCAGGTACCTTGCGAGTGCGATGAGTCGTATATTGGAGAGATATAAAAAATATTTTAAATAAATAATCAAAAATTGATTTCTCAATATTTTTCAATAGCAATTCCAAAACTTGTACTTATATGCAATAGTTATATGCCATAGCGATCGTATTCTATATTGTATTAGATTTTAAATACCACTTACTGAGAAAGCGTCGCTATTTAAAAAGTTGTTTGATTTTAATTTTAGTAAATACGAAGATTAACGAACCATCGCTTTGTTAATTAGTTCTTAACACGAGATAATTTTTGTTTTTGCAGATACTTGTCCGAATTTAGGCACGTCCAGAGGGGCGCGACGTGGAAGGGATCCCGCCATTTCTGTAAAAACAGGGCGGCCACGATAGACGAGATTCCGCCCTGTTACGAGGGAGAGAATTGGGAGGGAGTGAAACTAGATGATTTTATTAAGTGCGAAAGCAATTTGGCAGCTAATAGACAGACCAGAATGTTGGCAGATCTGGAATTAGTGGGTGAGTTAAGTGGATTTTCAGAGTTTAAATTATTATTTTATAATTATATTGTTATTTACTTTGTTATTTTTATTTCAATAATCATTATGTCATTTAATGCACATTAATTAAAATATGCAATACATTAAAATCCCATCTTGAAGTTCTTGATATTAGAGGTGGGCAAAGATTGAACGAGTCGTTCATTTGAACGAGTATTAAAAATGAATCGTGAAATTCGATTCATTGCTTGCAATCCGGCTCGTTCAATTGAATTTCGGCCAGCACGGATCCATAAGATTTGAACGCTGAGCCGTAAAAAAGAATCGTGAGAACTGAATCCGATCACAATGTGATCGTGCGTTGAAAGAGTCGTGAAAATTGATTCATTGCTTACAATACGGTCCGTTCAAGTGAATCATGGCCAGCACGGATCCATAAGATTTGAACGCTGAGCCGTAAAAAAGAATCGTGAGAATTGAATCGGATCACAATGTGATCGTGCGTTGAAAGAGTCGTGAAAATTGATTCATTGCTTACAATACGGTTCGTTCAATTGAATCATGGCCAGCACGGATCCATAAGATTTGAACGCTGAGCCGTAAAAAAGAATCGTGAGAATTGAATCGGACCACAATGTGATCGTGCGTTGAAAGAGTCGTGAAAATTAATTCATTGCTTACAATACGGTTCGTCCAATTGAATCATGGCCAGCACGGATCCATAAGATTTGAACGCTGAGCCGTAAAAAAGAATCGTGAGAATTGAATCGGACCACAATGTGATCGTGCGTTGAAAGAGTCGTGAAAATTAATTCATTGCTTACAATACGGTTCGTCCAATTGAATCATGGCCAGCACGGATCCATAAGATTTGAACGCTGAGCCGTAAAAAAGAATCGTGAGAATTGAATCGGATCACAATGTGATCGTGCGTTGAAAGAGTCGTGAAAATTGATTCATTGCTTACAATACGGTTCGTTCAATTGAATCATGGCCAGCACGGATCCATAAGATTTGAACGCTGAGCCGTAAAAAAGAATCGTGAGAATTGAATCGGATCACAATGTGATCGTGCGTTGAAAGAGTCGTGAAAATTGATTCATTGCTTACAATACGATTCGTTCAATTGAATCATGGCCAGCACGGATCCATAAGATTTGAACGCTGAGCCGTAAAAAAGAATCGTGAGAATTGAATCGGATCACAATGCGATTGTTCGATTCTACGGCGCGGGGCGCCGCAGGCACCAATATTTAGAATTAAAAAAAGTCCTAAACAAACATCATGGGCATAAAATGCAAACGATAAGAAAGTTATTAACAAGAAAAACACTTATTTATAATCCGCCGCGCCGGAGGTGATATAAGCATATATGCAGGCACCAATATTTAGAATTAAAAAAAGTCCTAAACAAACATCATGGGCATAAAATGCAAACGATAAGAAAGTTATTAACAAGAAAAACACTTATTTATAATGTGCTTAGTACGGGAGTATTTTTAAGGTATTTAATTTTCACGTTAATATTTTTGTTAAAATAATATTTACCGACTATTAAATGTCGGACTAAAAGACGAAATCCTGTTTTTATGCAACTCCAATAAATATTTTGAAATAGAAAGAATATTTATTTTTAATCATTGTCTAATATAGTAAAAAAATATTTCCAAAACTTAAAATCGTAAAACTATAGGGCTAATAACCAGTGGCGGCTCGTGACCCGTGGGACTAGGCGACAAAATTTTAGTTTCGTCTATTTGTCCCCCCATTTGTTAGGATATGCAACTTTTTTTCATATCTTAGACAATAACGACGATCTTGGACTTTTTGAAGCAGCCCTTATACTCAAAAATAATTTTCAGGCAGGGTTGATACATAAATATGTTCTAAAAGTTCATTTAGAACTGCCAAAACATGCTTAAAACTTTGTTTTAGACATTTTTGGTGTGTAAATAGGTATTTTTTGATAAAAATTAAGAAAATATCCTTTCAACTACTAAATAAAAAACAACTCTAGTACAAAAGGGATTAAAAAAATCGTTCAATTCATATTATTAAGTTCTCTAAAATTCGAAATAAGATTTGGGCTTTATTGTTACCCAACCTACTTCTAATCTTGAATGCCTATGTAATTAAGTATTTTGTTTAAGAAAAGCGTTTTAAATAAATTTTAAACATAATCCCGACTTTGGGATTAAAACTATGCTTTAAACCAATGACTAAAGAATTTAAGTTATAATATAATATCTCCCGTATATAGCGTTTAACGCCTTGGGAGTAGCAAGGTACAGCTTGCCATACTAGAGCCGTTCGGTATACAAGGAAGGTAATGTGGCTAGCATTACGCTTCAACCGCCTATTATTACCTCAGGATTGTGAATCCCAAGTACTGATTTAAGGCTGAGTCGACCTAGGTACCCAAACTATTTTTATTTTAATAAAAATAGTCGGCTGATGAAATGCCGGGTGTGGGAATTGAACCCACTACCTTCAGATTGGTAGACGAGAGCCTGTACCTCTACGCCACCGGGCACCTTTAGAATTTAAGTTAAAGAAATAAAGAAATTAGTTAAAGAAATAAAAAAAAGAATTTAAGTTAAAGAAATAAAATAAAAAAATTAAAGAAACAAGGACATGTAACGTTCATATACGGGCTGCAGCAGAATTTGTTACGTTAGACGCCATCATTTTGGAGCCTACGGATGAGTCACTACCTCGTCAATAGCGACAATTTTAGCGATTTTTAATAATTTGTTGTGTGTAGTGAACTTTGTATAAACTTTATTACAATGGTGATGTGTTCAGCTTTCAAGTGTAAAAGCCGCAACGATGAGTAAGAAAAAGCCAGGAGTTGCATTTCATAAGTAAATAAACAGTCCGCTCCACGTTTTTAGCGTTTTATTATTGAATTTGGTAATTATTTTTCTGATACTATATGTACTTGATATGTGCTATACGTGGATACTAGTTTTGTACCTTTTGTTAACCTTTTAATACGTTTCGTATTGAATTAGTATGATGCCACCGCCTACACCATAGGTGTAGTCAAAACATTTATCAAAAATATAAATATCCCTTCAAGCAGCTAAGTTAAGAAAAATATTATATGGCCACGGCACTGTTTGGTGCCATGGTAACAATTTGGTCTCGGGTAGAGGTGGGAATTCTAGTTCCTTGGGAGGAACTAGTTCCTTAGTTCTAGTTCCTCCAGAGGAATAGTTCCTTGAACTAGGTCCTTAGTTCACAATAGTTCCCGTCTAACATTGACATCCCCGTTGCTTGCTAATGGATTTCGTTTTCAGTCAGAACTATTCACCAGTTTACTATTCAAAATTATACAGATCATTATAATTTTTATAATGTACGAAATATAAAAAGACGTGTAATTGCATATGTTAAAAACATATAGGTAAGTTTTATAGCAGATAAAAAAATTAAAGAAACTCAAATCAGAGTTTAAAAACTATATCACAAATCAATTGGAGGAAATATTACGAAAAATTTACGAAAAAATGTATTTTTCCTCACTTCAAGCTTTTTGTTTTTGTCTAAAAATTCAGAATATCTACTTCGTTTTATAAGATATTTCTTAATGTTAGGGACCTAAAGTGCAACATTTCCATAAAATATTTAAAAAACAAAGTAAAAATCAAAAACAATATCTGCGATAATTTTCTGTGGTAATTACGCCGCGCTGGCTGTGGCAATAGACAAGGCCGAATCCATCGTCGTCGCCTTGTATTATATCTCGGTGAAGACGTGAACTAGTCTTTTAATAGTTCCTCTATGTCCGGATCCGATAACATACGGCTGACACTCCCCACGCCTGCCTAGCATCAATCGCGCTGGCCTATCCATAACGTAAAGTAGTCTTTTATTTAGTTCCTCTAGTTCCTTTAGGTCCGGATCCGATAACATACGGCATACGGCTGGCACTCCCCACTCCTGCCTAGCATCGATCGTGCTGGCCCGATCCGTTAGTACGTAAACTAGTCTTTTATTTAGTTTAGTTCCTCTAGGTCCGGATCGGATAACGTACGGCTGGCACTCCCCACTCCTGCCTACCTTGGGGTAAGCACGCTAGCTGATCCGTCGCATATTATTCTATATCGGTCCCAGTCTCGATCCCGGAACAGGTCCTGAGGAATTAGTTCTTTGAGAAACCAGGAACTCGTTCGTTTCATTCCGGGGTCGGAATAGTTCATTGGAACTATTTCGTTCACGAACTACACACCTGTAGTCTCGGGTGCTATATGTCCTTGTATTCTTTAGTCATTGCTTTAAACAATAAGTACCATTTTACCAGTTTTAAACCATAAAAAATACGTTTTGATTATAATAAAACGAGCATGTTTTTTTAGAATCCTGTTTCAAATTGTGTATCTTACCATTCTCTAAAACTTTCTATTTGACATTTTTTTCATAATTATCGATATAAATGAAATAGTAATCCTTCACTCACCCTGTACATTTACAACTATCTCTATCAGCTTTTTTCCTACAGAAGAAGCGGTAAAAGGTAAAATATAAAAGAAATAGATTAAAAATGGAGTCGACAAGTCTAATCCGTCTTGAATAAAAGTCTAATAAAAGTCTTACAAAGCTTTGTGAGCGAGAGAATTCGTTGTTGGATTACTTTTTAACTTTTTCCTGTCTCCTTCGCTAACTATTACCTTAAGATACTTTTTCTGCTACTAGCATTTCTGGATTTTAATATTAAAGAAGAAGGAATTTTCATTTTCTCATTATTTGTCAATTTTGTAGTATTTTATATAAAAAAAATATTTATTTTGAAATCGGATAGTAGACATGTAAGGAAACCGTGTGTATTTATTTATTTAAACTACATAAACGCCGGCGCCGTCCTTTTAATAATTATAAAATGTAGGGTTACAACATCATTAAAACGTTTGAATTTCTTTATAGAACTAAAAAATGGCGAAAAATGTAACAGAACAGAATCTCCTATACATTTATTGTCGTTGTTCTGGTTTTACTTCGAAGTTTATTTATCTTATCAGTTAATTATCGAATATTCTATAATGTATGTAATATTTAATATTCCCAATAAAGGTGTAGGTAATTTACATAATATGTAATACGTGTAACCGTAATCTATATTTTTATAGATTTGACGATAGCACAGAAATAAATATAGGTATATTTTGCATAATTATCTTTATTTCCACACTTTTCTACGAAATTGTTGTTCTCTGAAACCATCGATGTAATTTAAACTCGAAATACTTAACATAGTAACAATTTTAAGTAATTTTATTAAATTAAAACAATAAAATAAATTGCAAATACCTCGCGATTTTTTGTAACATTTAATATCATAAAAATATAGATCCTCTATTTCTATCATATTCACCCTGTATGATATTTAATCAATTAGTATAAACATTTTTTTAAGTAGAGTGATATATCTTTTCTAAAAAAAACAGGCAACATAAATTTATTAAGAAATAAATCAATGGAAAAATTTATAATTTAATTTTGCTGTGCAAATATAATTTTGGAATAAAATTAAAAATCATTACCTCAATTAAGAAATTTTAAGAGAAAATTCGTATTTTAGATCTTATACGATTGACACGGTTGCTGTTATGCCGCATTGTCGGACAGAACTTGTCTCTATTAACTTTTGTCTCTATTATTAACGGTTCCTAAGTTACAGGGCTAGAGTTGACGTCCTCTATAATATAATTGGACCATCCTTTATATACAGGATGTCCCAATATTCCGTGACATAGAACTACTACGTTTTTTTGAAATCAAAATAAGTTTATTGGACAAAATTTACCTCTATACAAAAGTGATTCGTTTTTCCGTTAGAGGGCATCAAACTTTAAAGATTAAACGTATTTTTTAAGATATTTTATGAACCGATATTCCGATTTGAATCAGATTTGGGGTTCCTATGTTTTGCTCAGTTCTTTAACATTTGATTTTCATAAAAAAAAAGTACGGAGAGTGTGAAAACTACCCCCACCTCAACATAAGTTTTAGTAGAAATATTTTCCAACTCCAACGACTGCTGTTTAACGAAGGATTTTCTTTTTTAAAATTGTCCTTCTTACATTTTATGTAGGAGTATGTTTAGGAGGGATCACAAATAATATTTGACAGTAAGCTTCATAAATTTTAAAGTAATGTTCGGGTTTATTTTTGATTGATGCTTTCTAATGGTGCGTCCAGACCTGACGAGCCGAGCGCGAGACGAGAGCAAGGCATTTTCTATCTAGGTTTTCTATACATTTTTTGACGCAAGCCTGCTACGAGACAAGCCGAATTGGATCATAGTGAAAGGAAGCCAAACACATATTAAATTGTAATTGCATATAACAAACGATGGCCAAATAATAACAACGCATACAGTAATAATTTTTTGTATTTTTAACATGGTAATTGGTTTGTCGTATTTTATTCATCGTCGGTTTTTCCCTTTTGACTGTTTCCCCTTTATCCCTTCATTTGTTTTGACACGACGTTTTTTGCATAATACGTTTTTTAAGGTTTTTAGAACAAAATGTTAAATAGAAATGTTATTGGGAAGGTTAAGAAACACATTTTAACATTACTGTAGAGTATACAGGGTACCTCAAAAAATCGTTGTGGATATAACATATATTTTCTAATGGGAATACACTATTTTTTATTTATTTATTAGATTCTACGTACAATTCGGTAACTTTTTTTGCAAATGATATTATACAGGGTGGTCCGAACTGTATTCCGGAAACTTCGGCAGCAAATTGTGCAGATAAAAATAAGTAAAAAAGTTCGTATAAATGTATGTCCTCAAATGCTTAGTTTCGGAGATACAGGGTGTAAAAGTTTCATTTTTATTTCGATTTTTTCCAAATAATTTCAGAAGTAACGTCAATATTTGCATGAAAATTGGTGTCTCCCCGTTTAAATTTGAAATGTTTTTTTTGTCAAAAGTTCAACAGAAACTGTTTTATCATCATTATTTCGAAGAAATATTTTAAATTGATTTAAAAAAATAAAAACTTCTCAAATTTATCATTTCAGTCAAATAACTATCTAACTCAACATGTCTATTTTTGTCAATAATGACATGTATTTATTATTTCCATTCTAAATATATTGAGAACGGTTGGTCGTAGCGATTTTTACCAAGAGACATTTTTTACGTAAAAAATCACGGTAATGTATATTTTTTCATTCAGTAGTTTTATACAGGTACGGACGAAAAGTTATTACTCTTCAAAACAGTTAAAACATATGTAGGGGGTGCCCCCTACAAATAGGAGTCATATTGACATCAAAATAAAATTTCTCATGTCAAAAAACTCAACACAATTTTCATCCAAATATTGACGTTACTTCAGAAATTATTGGAAAAAATCGCGCGAAATAAAAATGAAATTTCTACACCCTGTATCTCCGTAACTAAGCATTTTAGGACATACATTTATACAAACTTTTTTACTTATTTTTATCTGCAGAATATGCTGCCGAAGTTTCCGGAATACAGTTCGGACCACCCTGTATATCTAAAATTAATAGTTTTTTATATAGAATTTTGTAATAATTCAATTTGTTTAAAGAAATGTTAGATTTCGGTACGTTAAAAATTATCAGCGACCCAAAATTTGTAAATTCTATAAAAAAAAATGATAATACATATGGTGTACCATTTAAATATTTGAGATTACTTAATTTTAAATAGTCGAAATTCATAAATCAGAGCTAATATCTCGCAGTCGAGCGAGCCTACCAAAAACACGTCCAGACTTAGCCGCGAGCTTTCGTTGACCCCGGCCGTCGAAAAACCGACAGGGGACGGATAGCAACGGGGCTCCGTAGGTTGTCTCGCGGGGCTCTCGCGAGACCCGTCCACACTTGGCGAATTTGGAATGTCTCGCGCTCGTCCCGCTCTCGTCTCGTTAGGTCTGGACGCACCATAATAGACAAATGAAGCACTTTTGTGTTGTCCACGGAATATTGGAACTCCCTGTATATTTTGTCTGCTTTGAAATAAATCTTCAATATTTTTTCTCAAATACTATGCGATGTGGCGTTTTTTACAAATCAATTGTTAAAAAATGTGCTACGGCTCCTTTGAAAAAAATAATTTCTTATCTTTTTCAGGCTGCTACGACAGTAAATATATGCCGAAGGCCGACCGAGACCGCATAATGCTAGCGAGCGCGAAGAAAAACCTTCAATCCATGGCCTTCTTCGGCCTAACCGAACACCAGAAGATCTCACAATACATTTTTGAGGAAACGTTCAACCTCCGATTCGCCATTCCCTTCGAGCAGAACAATTCGACGCTGTCGAGCACGACGATAACAACTCTCAACCCGGCACAGGCCGCCAAAATAGCCGAGTTGAATAAATTGGATATCGATTTGTATAATTTCGCCAAGGAATTGTTAATGTCTAGGTTCAACAAACTGAAATCGAGAGACGACGATTTCGAGGAGAGATTTAAGCATCTGGGAGTGCTGAACGTACGAAATAATCCTACCAGCTTCGATTGGGATAAGTTGGACGATTCGGCGGATATCGACAGGAAGTGAGGACAAAAAACAATAAGGGTATTTTTGATTTAAAGGTCCTTTAGAGGAAAAAGTGTGTAGATTATTGTCTGTAAATTATCTGGTTGCTATGTAAAGTCGGTCATACATTTCGTTTCAATCCGCTCAATTTACAGCCTGAACAATTTCAGGCTCAGAATTGTCTGTGTCGATGTGTTAGAGAAAATAGAGTGAATGCGCAAAGTTAACTGAAAAATTATCGAGATTATCATCATTGTACAGGGTGTCACATCACACTACTACTTTTTTACCCTATACCCTGTATATTTTTTTATTTTATTTGTCTTGTTATGAGCTTTCTAAAAATATAGTATATTCTGTACTTCTTTTCATAAATAAGGTCGAAAATGCATTATTTAACTTTTTAACATAGGCGGTCGGTTTATAATAGGCGGGTTTTTATTTAAAATTTGACAGTGTTAATAGATAATATTTTATAAAATTAATCTTGTATACTGTCAAATTATTTATAACATAAACTACTTGGACAAAACAATTATCGCATATTTTATAAAAAAATATATTAATTTGAAAAACACTTTGAATTCCCTGACTTAAGCTTGATTTTCATGCATCCGTTGTCCGACGATACGATGATACGATATTAATTTTATTGGTTGAATTTAAAGGCTTCGATTGGTTAACCGTTTCTAACTAGAGTTTACGGGAGTAACTTAAATTATTAAAAAAATTGGGGGCTATAATAGATTCATACAATATGGACTACTTCAGTTTCAATTTAAATCGATCAAGGATTATCATGAAGAAATGACGGCGGATGTTTTTGAAGAATACTTTTCTCTATCATTGTTATGGACAACGCCAGTTATCATTCGAGATTAGTAGAAAAATTGCTAACCGTTTCTTGGAGGAAAGGGGACATTATAGGTTGGTTGTCTTAAAAGGATATTTCATTCGAACACGGAATGTTAAAAAAGGAGGTGGTGGGTACATATACTCTGTTTTTTTTCTCAGGTAAGATTTCGACAGACGATGACAGAAAAAAAGCAGATGACTTCCATACCAATCCATTTATTTCACTAAAAAAAGATTCTAATATTTTTTAAGTTAACTATGGATGGGTTTATAAATAAATACGTCATGCGTCGTCTCTTGTTGTTTTTAACCAGTTTTATTGGTTTATTTCAAAAACGACAGATCATATTTCAATATTATTGGTTTGACGCAACGATGAACGACAAACGGACTTCGATGCGTATGAACTCGACTTAAGATTTTTGAGAGTTGTCAAACTCTTGCCAAATTATAGGTTATAATTTTGTGTCAAATTATGTCAGATAGAAATGATAAATATTTTGCATTTTGCATTTTGGACTGTGTTGTTACTTGTGTTTCGTGTTTTTTAAAATTAAGTGAGGAAAACTCGAGGGAAAATTAAGTGTTGACCCAGACCATAGTTTACAGTTAATATTCGGTGCCCAGAGACCCCCAGAAACACAGTTTGCCAGAGACTATGGCCAGAGAGTTGTATTAGCCACAAATAAATTTGTATACCATCTTGTAAATGGTACCAAAAACTGAAATATCTGTAAAATAACATAACACATCACAATTAAATAATACATTTTAGTACTGCAGAAAAAAATAAGATTTAAGTGTTTTCAGTTTTATACAGGTTTATTTTCACAATATTTTGAAGTAATCACTTGTCACTCAAAATTTAAATATATTAATTATGGATTCCAATTGTACCAACTTATTTCTTTGTAAAATAAAATAAACTACTTTGAAATTAAAATGACAGACACATCTATCATTGTCAAGGATTTTGTCGTTGGACAGACTATATATGTAGTTAGAGAAAGCAAATCGCGCAGTTTAAAAAATATATTACTGACGAAATGGTTAATGTGCGTGGAATAAATGTGCTTCGCTTTAGAGGTGGGCAAAGATTGAACGAGTCGTTCATTTGAACGAGTATTAATAATGAATCGTGTGATTCGATTCACTGCTTAGAATACGGTTCGTTCAATTGAATCGTAGCCAGCACGTATCCATAAGAGTTGTGAGAATTGATTCATTGCTTGCAATACGGTTAGTTAAGATTCTCAAAGCTAGCCTGGCATAGGGAGTCATACCAGAAAGATGGCAAAAGGTTAAAGTCATATATCTTCCTAAGGTAAGCAAGGTATCGGATACCAAAGTCATATAGACCGATAAACCTGTCCTCCTTCCTACTGAAAATGCTAGAGAGGTTTTTAAGGGACGAAGTGCTAAGGGATAGTCCCCTAAGCAATCGTCAATATGCATACCAACCAGGTAAATCCACGGATGCTGCGTTGGATGATTTAAACAGGCTTATTTCAAAGTCGATAGAGGACAAGTGTTTCAATTCAACCAATAAAATTAATATCGTATCGTCGGATAACGGATGTATGAAAATCAAGCTTTACAGTTTTAAATACCTTAGATATTGTGAAGGGAAATTCGAAACAATAAGCCTACGCGTTGACCGATAATTTTTAGTCGGCTGACTATTTAATTGCAAAAGTGAAAACAATACATACTTATGGAGCCGATCGGCCGACTATTTAATTGCATGTGAGCGCGGCTTCATAGGAATATATTGGTTACAAATATGCAGCCAAATAGCCGGCCGATTAAAAATTGCCTGATAGCGTATAGCCTAAGGCTACGCAATGCAATCAAATATTGGGCTAATTGGCTACATAAAAATGAATTATTTTCACTTTTGCAACAACATAGTCGGCCGTCTAAAAATTACATGTCAGTGTGTACCCTAATTATCCTAAAAAAACTCACAAGAAAAAAATAGAAAAATGCATGCTTTATTTAGAAATTAGATAAGATAAACCATTTTTGAAATATGTAATAAATACTTTTATTCAAATATGCGATAATTGTTTTGGGTAGTGTATCTTTTAAATAAAATCTTTGACAAAGAAATTTGATAGTGTAATAGTAGCCTTAGATAATCAAAACAATCAAATATTTGACCAGTTTCTGTGTAGAATTATTGTAGAAGTGCATCAAAAATATCAATAACTCTGATTGATAGGGTGTTAGAAAAAAGCTGCACAAGTTCATTTTCAGTGCAGTTTGTTAAAAAAACAAGAGGGAAAACAAAAACTTATCTGGTTAAATTAAATTAAATAAAAACGCTCCTTTAAACTTAGTTGATTTATGTTAAAAAGTTAAATAATCAATTTTTTCCTTATTTATGAAAATATGTGTATAGTATATTTATCGAAAGGTCATAATAAGAAAAATAATATATATGGTGTCCCATATAAAAAACATTATTTTGAGTCATACTTCGAAAAAGGCAGCTCTCAACAAAAAACTACTACGCCGCTAGATTCTACATGAAAAACTTACTTTTTACTACTGAACTTAGTTTTTATCTTTTTGCTAAGTTATAGGATAATCGAGATACGAGGGGAGTTGAAATATGCAAAATTTTGTGTAATGAATGAAGCTACCTATTTTTGGCGTAGAAGACGAGCTATTGCTGCATATTTATTAATAAAAAAATATCAAAATCAGATACATGTAACAATTGGAAAATTATTTAAAAAGAGAAACCAGCAAGGAGCATTAGAAAAACCATTTAAAAAAACACACTCGTATTGACAAAACTATTCAGTGGTTAATCAGTTGTAGTCTGTCCATCGAAAAAATATATGACAGAGATAGTTTATCGTTTTCATTCAAAGATATATGTACAGTTTTTCTCTCTCATTTCATCGATGTCATTTGTCGAAATCATATATTCTCTCACTGGACAGACTATGTTTTTATTAATTTGATGAAGGAACTGAAGTGTATGAGCGGCTTAAAACCTTTTTCCGTAAGTATATTTTGACGATACCCAAGTGCTTTTCTTACGCAAATGTCGCCAGATAAGATTTATTTTGAAAGTAAAATGATTTTACTTTGAATAATTTATACAAGGTCGCTTACGTTAATGGATGAATGGGCGTTCCTTTAAATGTAAAAACGGTCGATTGTGATTTATAACCACTTCAAAAATAAGTCGGTATTTCATTGTCATAAGAGCAAGTCAACAAGCAATGTTAAGTTTACTTAAACCTGGTTTGCGGGGTCCATAATAAATGTTCAAAAAGAGATAAGTTTTTAAAGTTATATTTAATAATTTTAACTTTATTAAAGATATATTTTTGACCATGAGAGGTATGGAATTTTTGTCAGTTTTCGAGGAATAGTATAGAATTCATTTTAAAAAAGATAATAATAAAATGCATCAAATTATCTAACTGAGGCACTACATGATACTTGTGATATTTTATATAATAGAATTTAAATTAATTTATTAGAATCATTGCTTTGTACTGAAATAAAATAAATTGTATTTTAGGTATTGATACTTTTATTACAATTTTCTACTACCAAACTAGTGATGGGCAAAACTGTTATTTTTAGATAACAGTTGAAACTGTTATAGTTATTTATAAAAAGCAGCTTAAAATAACAGCTTAAAAATAACAGGTTTCTTTATTTCCTCTTATAAAGACAATCCGGGGACATACTGTATAAACAAGGGTAATATCTAAAATTATAGTATTTCAAGAGATTATTTTTTCTTAGTGCTATTCCAAATAATTTGAAGTCTATATAATTTAGCCTTTACTTGTTTTAGTAGTTGAAAAGTAATATCTTTATTTAGTGTATTTTTAGTATCTATCATTTGTTGTATCTCTGAATAGTAAATTTGTTTTTTGAAGAGCTTTAAATCGCAGCAAAACCAACGAATATACTTATTTATTATAATTATTTAAAATTAATATTATACGCAATGTGTTTGCTACCTTTTAAACAATCTTTTCTTAACATAGTGTTTTTATTCTTATCACCATCTATAACAGTAATAGTCTTAGACAGTGGTGAAAAATACAAAACTATTTCTTTGCAACTACTGTATTGTAATAATTTAAGACTGGGAAAATTTAAAAAACTCAAAACTTTTCTTTTTCTAAAGCATTTCTTTAGAAAAATATACATATCACTAAATAATTAATTAAATTGTTATTTCCATTTTTTTATTAGGTACTTCTCATTATTATAATAAATAAATTAATCACTAAATTTCTAAGCACCATTCACAATTTCTTAAAGTAAATCTTAGTAAAATTGTCTTTGAAGAGTTTTAAAATGTAGCAAAAACATATACAAAAAAAACAAGTATATATTTAAAGATATTAATAAAAATAACTAACTAACTGAAACTTAATAACTAAGTACTGAAACATACAGCGCCATATCTCGACCTCCGTCCGTTATGCTCGTAACAGGTTGAAAAACAATGTATCTAAAACAAGTGGTGCGTTATTCTCCAACCTGTTTCGAACCTCCATCGACAATCGACCGATGCAGCAGCGTTGCTTTCCCACTCCGATTATCTCGACCGCCGCCTGTTATGCTCGTAACAGGTTAAAAAACAACGTATCTAAAATGACTGCTTATTGTCTATACGTTATTCTCCAACCCGTTGCGAGCCCCCATCGACAATCGACCGATGCAGCAGCGTACTTTGCCGCTCCTGTTATCTCGACTGCCAGGCGTTATGCCCACAACTGTTTCAAAAAAGCCGCTTCTTTTATATCCTATTATTTTTAAGCTGTTGCAAGCCCAACACGACCATCGACCGATGCAGCTACGTTCGCCGTAGCGCATTCCCCACTCCGTTATCTGTTGTATCTCGCCGCCTGTATCGATGGTTGTCGAAATAACATGTTTTCCATCCATACTAATTGTTTTTTGGAATTGCTTCGAGCCGCATAGAATTTCGTGGCGGTGCAGAGCGCCGACTTCGTTTCACGAGCGGTCGATCTCTATGTGCCGTTATTTTATATCTGTTATTTTTTAGAAGTAGTAACGGTTGCGTTATATTATTTCTAAATAATTGTTATAAAATAACAGATAGTTAAATAACAACCCATCACTATACCAAACAACGAAAAAGTTACTGGAAAAGAATATTTATTTTTACAGATGAAATATAATTTTTATTACACAACTAGCTGACCC